ATATCAAGCACGATATCATGCGTATTTATCTGCGTATGTTTGTAATTACTTAACAATTTAAGAGTAACACTATTAGCCTATGCTTGCAGCGTCGAGTTTTCAGTGATTATTTGAATAATCACTTTAAATATTTGTAAAAAACTTGACAAATATTTTTGTTCATATATTGAAAAAGCTTTTGCCACTATCCTACCAATGCCCTGAACAATCCTACCCATGCCCTGACCACTGTCCAATTCATGTACTGACAACTGTTCTATCTATGCCCCAACCAGTTATACTTAGGTTCTTACACTGCTCTCCCTATGCCCCATAACCACTGTTCAATCCATACTACTGACTTGCCCACAGCTTGACCTCCAACCTACCTATGCTCTGACCACTGTTATATGCATGCTCTGAACACTGTCCTATCTTCAAAGTGAAGATAGGCGAGTGGTGAGTTCAACCAGGTGAGTAGGTGAGCTGTACCTATATGTCCTCATTTAAACAGCTTTCCCGAGTTAAATAAATTATTTTTGTTAAACAGTTTAATAGTCACTTGAACACTTGTGCCACATTTTTAAGAGGAGCGATACATTACATGTCATATTACTCTAATGTGGAGAGAGAGAGAGAATGAGAATGAGTATGAGGGAGAGAGAAATATGACATACAACATGACATTTAATGGCTGTCACCAATGCTATCAATGCAAACATAGCAGCAAGTGAAATAAAACTAACCCAAATAAAGTGGTGAAAAATAGCGATGGCGCCGCAAGGCTTCACAAGTCAGGAACTGCAAGTATCAAGTGAGCAGAGACTTCCCTGTCCACCCCCCTTCTATTATCTTATCTCAGGTTATGTCTCTTCAAGGTATTTGACCAATTGTAGGCAACATCACTATAACCTTGTGTTGTATTGAATTGTTATCTTTCAGATACCAAGCCGTCACCAAGGACTCGCGTATAGGTACTCACCTGTATGTGTTTGAAGGCCAAGCCTCAGCTCACATCCAGCCTTTCAACCATCCATTGCAATGACTCCACTTTGTCGTAGAGCATGACTGAATGGCAAATAAAGGCCACCCATTGTTTTTCTTAAGTACTGTTTTCCAGTAAAAAGTGCCGAGTGTGTTTGAAGACTGATCCAAAGCAGCATCTGTCAGCACCGAGACTCAGAAGCTGTACTCAGATACAGAAGAGATAATGTACTCAGAAGCTGGAAAATGCAGTTAGTTGTTAATAAATGATCTCGGGTAAGTTTTCCTTAGAGGATGGGACATTTGGGTGCACTACCTTACAAACAATGACTCTATTCACCGAGCAGTGAATATGTAACTGTTAGTAAGCAACTTTTGTGGGTTGCATCCTGGGAAAGATCAGTTGTTGGCCTAACCTGTTTGACCATGCCATTAGCCAAAATACCTTGTCAGGAATCCAGAAACACAATTAAGGATTCATGAGGTTCTGAAAGAATACAGTCATCATTCAAAAAAGGGATATACCAGTACTGTACAGTACTTTATTTTACCCATAGCCAAGACCAATATTCCCCTTACCATAACAAATCTTATCCATAACTTCCTGAAAGCTGACAGCTGCTGAAATCAAACCGATGATGTATTACAAATATTTATCCCCTTATTTATTATCATGTTGTTTGACTCACAATAATTCCTCATTTTACTTCCCCAGATGTAAACCCAATGTTGAATATAAAACCACTTCTTGTTAAAAGCCCTGGTAGCTTCCTGAAGCTATCTTGATGAGATTGGTCCTCAGTCAATGGATCATGTCAGTCACAGGAGTTCTGTTTGGCTTACTGAGGGCCAGAGCCAGAACCTGGTCTTCTCAAGAGATGTAATGTGTGAGTGACAATCCTTCACCCCCACCGAGAAAGCATCCAGAAAGTTAGTAAAGTGGATGGTGAACAGACATGTGAAGCAAATACCAAAATAATAAGAGCAAAACACAAGCAAATGGCCCCCCACAGGATATGTTTCAAAAGAATGGTTGGTACTTAGCTGAAATCAGAGGGGCTCACTGCAAATGATGGATCCAGAGCATTACAGGCAGTTGACATTGCCACATCAGTGACAGAGGCTGTGGGCAACTTTCGGTACTAACTTTATAGGATTTGAGCTAGTTTTGAGTGAACCAATTGTTTGTATTGTCTGCAAAGTTGTTTGGCAGTTTCGATACTTCGTTTTGTAAATCTTGCAGTTGTCTAATATTTCACAAGCTTTCTGGATGCTTTCCTTGTCGGGTGGCAAATTGTCACTCGCCCCCTACACCTCCGTGGGGTAAAGGCAGGTTCTGGCTCTAGTCCCCAGTAGACTCAAGAGAATTCCTTTGGTTGATGTGACTCATTAGAATGGAGCAAACTCGGCACTATAGCTTCATGGGGCCAAGGGCCCCCCCCCTTCCTCCCTGAAACTGACAACAGAAAACATTGAAAACATTGCACTGGTTTGAAAAATAAAAGCCTGTAATGTACAGGCCACAATTTTATTACCTGAATACAAAATACTAAAATATATAACATACAGTACTAGAAATTACTAGTTATGTATGAATTGAGTTGAAAAATTTTAAGATTTGTTCACGTGCATTCAACAATCGACAGAGGCTAATGAAAATGGTCATTCATTTGATATTTTAATATTGAACTAGGCCTACCTAAGAACTAGACAAACACCAAGGGCTTTAAATTTTACATTTAACCTAGAAGTATTCTGCATCTAACATAAGTACAGTGTATAATAACTAGCCACTATAAAAAAATTATTGTTTACTGTCATAACTAAGCACATATCCTATATACAATGCCTTGTATAAGTACACAACAGTTAAGTACCATAATTTTTTTTAATAATACAGTATTTAACCCCCTAAAGTGTGGCTATGAATATTCACCCATGTCCACCCATGCACAAAAAAATACATAATTAAACAATTTCCTTATTGAATGACTAATGTGGATCCAAAATGTAAGGAAAAGTTTCAATAACAAATATATACATTAGCTTGTCCTCTAGAGCATTCACGTCCCTAAAAATGATGTACTGTACTATATTTCAAAATCAACCTCACTGTGAACCCACAAATAGAAAATGAAACATCACGTCAATTTTGCAAACCACATCATTTTTTTGGCTATACTGTACTGTACGAGATTTATACATCAAAATGCAATGTAATATTAAAGACGATGGGTTGTCTACATAATTACTAGTTAGGTGAGCTGTAGAATGTTGATGCCCAGCCAGATCTGTCAATATCAAACCTTGTGTCGTGCTAACACAGTGGAATGTGGCAGAGCAATCTAGACCTTGGATATTTCCACGATCATTTCTTCACTTTTTAGTTCATTCACTTTGCATGTTAAACAACTAAATTTATGTACATATAATTTACAAAAACATGGAGAGAGAGTACATTACTGATTATACGGATAATGTATTTAGGCCTACAATGAATATACTCTATGTATAAATGTATCAATAAGAACTGCAGAAGGCATATTGGTTTAAATGAGGCAGCTCCTATTTATATCCAAACTCATTTGTGTACAATATATAAATGTGTTTGGGTAGATATCAATAGGAGCTGCTTCATATGAGCCAATAGGGTTTCTGTAGTTTCTGTTATGTTCAAATGATGATTGGCTGACCTAATATACTTCATTACAACCTTACAGAATTGTGAAAACCATATGAACTTTTTTGGTAAAATTTCATGCAATTACAGTATAAGGGAATTTTATATCACGAAGATCACAGCATTGACATTGTTAACATGTGCACAGTAAGCACTCATGAAGTGATAGCACGATTTTTTCATGGACTACAGGAATCTCAACTACTTGTACATCCATATAGAGCTCTTGTATCTAAATTAGAATCACTGGTATGAAACCCAAACAATAATAATACAAATCAACGTATGATAACCCCATTACTTCGTAAATCAACTTATGATAACCACACTTTGAGGGTTAAATTGAAAATTTGGCTAATTTCAGTAGATGTGTACCTTCAGTACCTGGGGCCAGATTCACGAAGCAGTTATGCAAGTATTTAAGAACCTGTACATCTTTCCTCAATCTTTGGCGGCTTTCTTTACTATTATTAAACAGTTAATGAGCTCCGAAGCACCAGGAGGCTGTTTATAACAATAACAACAGTTTATTGGGAAGTTTTCATGCTTGTAAACTGTTTAATAATTGTAACCAAAGCCATCAAAGATTGAGGAAAGATGTACATGTTTGTAATTACTTGCGTAACTGCTTCGTTAATCTGGCCCTTGGTTGTTACATTGTAGCATCTCTCTCTTTATATATATATACCATGGGTCTTATTTTCATAAGCTCTCAAAAAAATATTCTAATACCAATTTAATTCATAATGTACAAACTGTTTCAAATTTGAAACTTAGTAATAGAAATTTTACTGTTCAAGGTGCTGTGAATCTATTCATACTGGCATCATCACTTGATCTGATTTTATAATGGAAACCAACTAGGAAGAATCATATCACAGTTCCTTGTGTCAACGATTTAGAAATATAATACAAATAAAGCATCAGAGCATCGAAGTGATACCAAATCGAAATAATTTGTTAATTATTTTTAGTTAATTATAAGTATATTTTACTCTCATAATTATTTTAAGTATATACTCTCATTTAAAAATTAAAACTAAATATTTAAAAATATACTAAGAAAAATTGAGACTTAAGAATTTTTTTAATTAACTTACCATTTAACATGGCATATGAAAGCTCACATTAGTGATACACCATTACAATGTAAAGGATGTTTTAAAAGCTTTCATAATAAATTTAATTTTGGTAAAATCCCTTTAAAGTTTATAGTGGAAAGAAGTTGTTTCAGTTTTGTCTCTAAATCTTTGCAAGAAAATTTCATCAACGAGACAATAATATTCACACAGGAAGAAAACTATGTGCGCAGAATTTGAATTATCAAGCCTTTTAGATCGATCATATCTTGATAAATATAAAAATTTATACAGAAAAAAAAACTTCATTGTCCACATTGTCTTTAAAACTTTTAAAGTAAATCTCACCTAGCGAAATAAAGTTCATGTAGAAGAAAACAATTTTGAGTATTCAGAATGTTTAAACAAATTTCTAGCAAGTCTTAACTAGTAAAATTTTAAAGGATCCATACAGGTGACAGACCATTTAAATACTTGTAGGGGCAAAACGACTTTTCAGGTAAATCTCTGCTGTTAAAACATACGAGGCTTTATACAAGCAAGACGGCAACGTAATATTCACAATATTAAAAATCTGATATTTTAAATCTTAAGACATATGATAGTCATCACAAATGAAAAGCAATTCAATTGTTCAGAGACAAATTAGAGAGAATATAGTTCAATTTTACACATATCAAACAGAAATGTTGTAGAATTTGGTAGTCAAATCAACTTGGTTAACTTAGAACTGTACATGTCATATTACGTTCTAAAGTTATCAAGGCAAGAGCTGAAGGAGGCCACGAATGTTTGCTCAACATCAAAAGTGCTCATACATAACTATGAAAACATGAACATGGAAATTTACTGTAGTTTGACTTTGTACAAAATGGAAAAGCACTGCTCTAAATAGGAACACACTATTCATAATAACTAATCATAAATAGCTACTTTTAAAATTTATATCACTCAACCCATCTTCATGCTTGTTCTACACCGACATGCACACTCAAAATTAAAATATTTAAAAGGGAAAAATAAAAAACAAAAACCTTGCATAAACTAGGCCTAATATATCCTAAGACAGGAATATGACTAGGTTAAAAAAAAATTAATTTTTTTTGCTTTTGCTATACATGAAAATTGTAATGTTTGTACTACATATATCTTTTATGAAAAAGGACTTTTCAATATGTATGTATATATAGTTATATCATGAACATGAGGATGGGTTGGAATATCAGTGTCACTGATATTATTTTGTTGAACCGTTGCTTGGGCAAGAACAGTCCTTATCAAAAGAAAGTGCCGAGCCCTGAATGCTAGTGTAGACCACTGTCAGTTTCACAATATTCAAAAGCTTGTAGATAGCATTTAGGATGAAAATATGAGAGCAGAAAGACGAGTAATGTCAATGGAATCCGATTCACAGAGGAACTTATCAAGCAACACACAAATGAAAGGAACCAAAAGAAAGCAAAATTTCTGATCGTGAAAATCAGAACATTCTATGGGGTGGTGTATGACTATTAATGGGACAATGCAGTTGTGACAGTAACGTGCAGGTCTCTCTTTCATTTACAGCTCACGAATAAATTGTGTGTAGCAAATATGTACCTAGCCAGACACATTTCCCACATCCCGTTACAGTGGCAGGAGGAAGGCCATGGGAATAGTTCACATTTGATGGTACTATACTTACTCACTCTAATGACCTATATGGGATTTCACCCTGCTCTCTGAACCCTATGTTGTTAAATGTCAATAATATTTTGAGAATTTTTAGGTCCACCAAATTATGTTTTCCTTTATGTAAACGATAACATACATACAGTACATATATGGTACAGTACAGTACTATACTTCGAAAAAACAAAACAAATTTGAATAGATAAAAAAAAATACAGTAACCTCTTGTGTTGTACATTAAAAAAACCACTTACCTCTCCCTGTTGTGAAGACTTCTTACCTTCTAAAATGCCTAACTAAAAGTTTAATGCAGTATGCACAGTATACTGCATGATAAAAACACTGTCGGCTACTGTATTACTGATGCTTGTGCATTGTCTGATCAAGTTTAGATGAACTTAAGAAATCCAGCTTGTTCTATTACACTGCAAGCCAAATACTTTATTTGCATCATTAAATCGTTGTTTTAGTATTTTCTTAATAAAAACTGTAAATAAGTTTTGTTTTACCCAGCAATGTATTTTTTTAATGTTGCAACAGGTAAACACTGGAGCATTACCTCAATCAATCCATGAAAATATTGTGGAAAGCATATGCTTAGTGAGGGCAAAGTTGTCACAACAAACCCAATAACTGGTGCGTGTTTACAGCGACACGCTCAATAAATTCAACGGTGGCCATAATTTGCTTCTTCCAGATAATGATTTGGTAAATAAGGATCCAAACACCAGTCTCAAAAAACCAACCATTAAGCCCAGCAGAATGCCAGACCAGAAGACCTTAACCCTCATACTACTCCCATCATCCTGAAGAAGTTGGGCACATGGCTCCAATTGTCTGAAAACGACTTTTGTCACCAAACAATATATAAATGATCCGTCAATTCTAGTGGGACGTCATTTGCTACTAGAGATTTCAGGTGATTGTTTGCCATACTGGAAAGAATCCCAAGCGCCTTAGTTTCTTTATTGGGTGGGCCTCAGTAAAAAGATGTGTACCATGTCTGGTGAACCACCTTTCAGGCACTAAACAGGCAGCATAATCACAGTAGGAACCATTGACACATGCAAAATTGCAAGGACTTTGAAGGACCTGGTAGATCTTAAAGATGAAGAGGAATATATTACAATTAACTTGAATATTATCCCTCAGAATATGAAATAAGCTGCTCTAACAACAATGGAAGTGAGACCGAGGATTGCTGATGCTGATACAGCAAAAATTGCCCGACACTACTAATAATGAACATTCTTAAGAAGCACATGTGGTGTTAGAAGAATAAAGTAATAAACCTGTAATGGAAAGATGCAATGTGTAAAAGTGTGTAAACTGCAACATTTAGGAATGAACATAGTTTGGCCACGTTAAACTAATGGATGATGATAATTAAGATTGTACAGGCAATCCACACTTAATGAACAAGATGTATTCCCCAAAAATGTTTCAATAATTACAACTATGGAGAAACTTACTACAATTCCATAGTGTTAAATAATGGTGAAGGAAAGGCCCAATAAATGTGTATTATTAAACCAAATCTTCGAATCAAAGCTACATCCATTATCAAGGTGCAGTCACACAATGTTCTGAACACTGTTTGACATTACCTTAATAAAGGATGCAGGTTTTAACCAAAAATTTCCCTTAATAATACACTTACATATTTATTGGGTCTGTCCTTCACCTTAAATCCAATCTATGTGAATTAAAAGCCATTTTTTCCATTGGATCCCAAGATAAATGCTTAGCTACAATCCTGCCATGAAGTTTTCCAATTTTAATAACTTTTTAAAAACATGGAAAACAAACATTTAATCACACAGCAATAAAACATAAAATGTAAGTAATGTATGAGCATAAGAGTATATTAGCTAACTTGAAATTAATGTACAAGGTCTCTGATAAATGTGGTGGCTTACTTAAGAAATTGAGGCTTGATAACCGAGGCGATAGCCCTGGCAATGTTTACACTAGTCTGATACTTTTGACTACAGAACAGGAATTTAACAAAAAAAAATTGTAATATGTTTAATATATCATTTAATCTCATAATTTATATCTGGCAATAAAATCTATGCCAGTTACAGATTATCATGATAATTCTTAGATTGGTATAATGAAAATATATTTAATAAAATAATTAATTACTGAATACCAAAAACAAAAAAATCAAGTTCAAAACAATGACTACAGTATTGATAATTGAGAGCCCGAGCATCAGTGCTCTGTTCGCTACATTAAGCCATTCTTAGCTCCTGTTGTAGGTGTTGCCCCATCCTCTCCTGTGCGTGTCCCGCCACTCGTCCCATTTTCTATCTTTAGCCAACTTCTCAGGGTTGTCTTGCTCTGTGGCTTTTTCCTTTTCCTCCTCTTCACGTTCTATGGCTTCTTTCTCGGCCTCAGGGTCAAGTGCAGCACGATCCTGAAGGCAGTTCTGACTTCTACTTGGATCTGGAAACCTAAAAGAAATAATGAAGAAACTGTATATATCTCCCTAACAAATATAAGTTCACCTAAATGTATCTGAAAAGTAATTTAAAACACTTCAAGATGAGCTATAGAGAACTTTTCCGAGTCTTCGAGTCTTACAAATTAGTTACTGTATTTTAACAGATCGACTGGTACAGCCTCAACGAAACCAAGTGTCACACAACCCACTCATTGACTGCAATTCTGTCTGGGTTCAAACTAACATATTGTCTAGGTACACTGTGCATCAATGTGTCACACATCTTAATTAGTTGCACGAGTGCACTGTAGCTGAAGGTTCTCAGCGAGTGGGTTTCCAGTTATCACTGTCATTTGCAGTCAAAATTAACACATCAACTAAGTCGAGAACAATTTTCTATATCATTTTGCTGATTTACACACTTTTTACAGAAGCCATTTGGAAGCCTGTTTTATCAACCAAACACGTGTTCTCTATATAATCCAACAATGCATTACGATTTTTATAGTTTTCTTGGTCTTGTGGTCAATTCCCAGTGTACCAGTTGTCCTGTGTAAATATTTGTCAGCATATTCACATTGCACTTGTTGCACCATATAATAGCCAACAAGTTGCCAAGTTGTCTTAATCTGCCCCTTGGTGGATACCAAGAAGGGTGATTTGCACACAAGAGTCTTGCGGTCATGCTCTAACATTCATAAGGAATTATTAGTACCACATAGGCACCTTCTGTATTCAAACACTGGTGGTAAAGGTCAAATCGTCATGTAAAGAAAACTATAGGCTCCTAGTACATTCAACACATGATGGTTCAAATTATAAAGAGTTGGTCTTGGTCAATTCCATTACATTCACATAGTACTGTGAACCATAAAGACATAATTGGTATACAAACTGTACAATGATAGTAAAATTGCCCTATGAAGATAACTGCAGCAGCTTAAGAAATGAACACATGATGGTGACCGCTGTGTAAATAACCAGATGCAAGGGTAGCGAGGCCAGATCCTACACACCAATCCACAAAGTACACATGAAGTCAGTGTCACAGAATTAAACTGAAAGAATCCTTGTCCACCTCCCTAGATAAATCCCATAAATTTGCAAGGAACATTCATAATTAAGGTATAATAAAGTGCAAAACACAGTGTCAGTCCTCACAGAAGCAGTAGTAGTTGAAGGTCTGGCATTAGGGACATGAGTGAGGGAGGGAAACAGGTTGAACCCTTGGGTGACATGAACTGCTACCTGAGGATGTGCCTGGACACTCAAGCAAGATTTGACATTGGTCAAACTATCACTTCCCTTATGTCCATCTTCTCTCTCTTTACACACTGAAATCACAATAGCGTGATGTATCAAATGAACAAATCCACAATGCCGGTTCTGACCCTTGTGGGATCTGACCGCTTGGGGATCCTCGTGAGGGCAGTAGCACTGCAGGTTGCAATTGTTTTGACCATGTCATGGTACAATTGACTAAGGCGCATCTGGAAACATCCCATGCATAGGTTCAAATCCTCATCACGGCTCTTGTGGATTTGTTCCCACTCTTTCAACAACATGTGTAGTTTGTTTTACTTTACAAGTACTTCCTGGGCAGTTGTACTTGGTTATGAAGTTGATCTCAGATCCCCCCCATGTCCCCTTGCCCCCACAAGCAAACCTTATTCTGGTTCAAGTGTTTAGTAGGCACATGCAAGTCTCGAGGCCTGGTTGTTTGGTGGATGTTTCTGCAGTTCCATATCCAGTTTCGTTGGGCAGATAGATTTAGATAGATAGATAATGGGCAGATACTGAGGCTGCATTTTATTAAATTCTATGCTGAAGTTTTTATGTTTTTTCCAGTTCAGGATTTTATGCTCTACAATCTAAAAATTAGTAATCTATCACCATTCTGAAATATAGATTCATGGCCAAGGATACATTCAAAATTGTCAAAGTATATGGAATTAAGAAATAAAACAAAAGATAGCTACAATCAAAGGAAAAATAAATTATCACAAATAATTGAACACAGCCACTCCAGCACAGGTGAGTACAGTACTCATATTAACTAATGCCACCTACCAGCCGTCTCTCACTCTTTGGTCATAGAAGTCCTCTACTGATATGGAAGGATGACTTGGGTACCCCATTCCAAACACATTCTTACGTAACGCATCCCTTGTGATGAGGATTGGCCTGTGTAAAGAGAACATTAATTAATAATAAATTATTTTATACCAATATGGTCAATGCTCAGTATTAAGCAGTGATTTTGCTAGACACCTTGCTTACTGTATTTTGTGACCAAAAACTGTTACAACGAAACTGAAGTATTTCATGTAGAGTAGTATGAAACAGTTTTATTAACTCATTACAGGGTGAAGGGCATGTGTATTGTTTCTTCTATACAGTATATAAAAAATACTAATACAGTATCCAACCTATGATGAAAGGTTGGAGGCACTAAATATGCCAAAATTAGCATATGCTTAAAAATAAATCTCACCCCCACACATACATAAATAAATATACAGTACATAAATATGGCGAGAGGATGGGGGCATAAATTTCTGCAATGACAAATTACAACAAGGTATTCAATCAGATCTCAACATGCACTGCAGCAATTAGTAATTGAAAATAGAATAATCAGTCTGTTGGAATAAATGGAGGATTGATTGTGTGTTAGCCACTGTACTGTGCTTTTATCAGTAAAACTGATCAACAGAGCTTAGCATGACTAATTAAAAGTTAAGTCTTCTGTTTTTACTGCATGGTAGCAGAATGTGTAGTATTTAGCATTAATTACAAGCAAATTTATTTGAAACTATGATTGTATTTATAAAAGCATTTCAACTCCTCGGTTGTTGTTAATCACAATGACTACAAGTTTTGCCGATGCAGTACAGTACTGTATGTGTAAACCCAGAAAAACACAAGAGACAAAAGGAATACAAACTTAAATGGCTTTGCTTTGGAAGCTGCTGCTGGATTAGGGACCAACCCCTTCCTTCTCATGGCTGCCATCTCTAACAGCATCTTCTGTTCCATTGCCATGCTCTCCAATTCGTCTAAGCTGTGGTAAGAAAACAATAAAACCAAAAATTTGAGAAATGCATCCCACTGTTTTGTGCTGCTTGCATAAGGTCAAGTACCATGCAACTGTATTTATATGCAGTACTGTACAAAATGAAGTTCAGAATCCCTGCAACATGCAATGATCCAAGATTAGAGTCCCAAAAGTTTGTTAAACACAATAAATGAAGTTTGTTAGTGAGCCCAATACACACCCATATGATAATTTTTAATCAGAATGACAAATACAAAAAATCAAAGACTTTCTAAACTTTGGATAAAAGTAGATAGTAATTCCACATTGTACTTCAAAAACTAAATTATCCTATTCTGCACAAAATCTGTGGTCGTCTGTACACAGGAATAAACCTTTCAAATGTCATTCCAAGCTGAATGAATCCTTTCCAGTCTCCCACTAGCATCAGTGTGACTAAGTAGGGTCACTCAAAAAATCCCAGCTGTAATGAAGTATGTGTGTCAACCCGGAAAACAGTAGGAGCTGGGGTAGGGAAGCATCCAAAAACAGTATATTTGGAAAATGCTTTTGAATTTACTCCAAAGCAAATTTGTTGTTTTGACCTACTGTATTTTGAAATCAATGTGACAAATTCTCTTCAATATCCCATTCATGTTGTGTTGTATTTTTCAATTTCACTGTTTAAACTGCAAGCAATTTTTGTCAACATTTTTTAAATTAATATACCAAGGCATAATCAAAACTGTAAATTTCAGCAAACATGGAAATTAAAACAAAAATGCAAGTCAGCATATTCAACATAACAAAAGTCACTTACCTTTCATGAATAAATTTTTTAACCATAGTGATATTATATTCTCGTAGAGTATCGTCACTGTAATTAGGGTTATCAAGTACTTTTTTCAGATCATTAAGCCGTTCTCCAATAGCTTTCGTCTCCTTATACCTTCGTATTTTCTCTTGCCGTTGTCTGGCCATTGCTTGAAGTTCCTACCACAAAGATAATTTCACGTTACCTGAGGGGGAAAACAGTTTCTCTACTACTCTAGGATTTCTTTAATTAAATGCTCTTATGACTAATAAGCTCAGTTATCCTAAACCAGCTGAACCAAATATATGGATATAGAGCCAAAATTGTGGCCTGATAATTTTCTGGAAAAACTTCACCATATCCAGACAAAAATCCAAATAACTGGAGATTTGGTTACATAAATTTTTAAGAACTACATATTTCAAGATCCACAATATTAAACAAGTGAACTACAACAAGGTAAGCTGAAGTTTCTGTTTTACATTATATTATTGATTTATAGTGTGTGTACAAATTGGAATTACTGTACATTGGTTGTGAAACAAAAAATTACGAATATGGTTATTTTTAGACTTTCCCGGTAAGAATTCTGCTTATCCGGATGTTTCGTTTATCTGGTGATGGGTCCATCTCATATAGTCTAGATAAGTGAGCCAAGACACCATACACATTCAGCCGCTTCTAACTCATGTTTTTACAGTTCACTTTTATTTAATTACCAACTAAATAATTTACCTCATTTTTACAGCAATTAACACCCTTAATGACATCTGGCAACACTTGTCATTATAATGATTCTTCCCTAATTAGTTCAACTACATGAACAACCAATCCAAGTGAGCTTGTATACATCAATGCTTGCAGAGAAAGCAAAGATAATGAGGAAAGTAAAATCAGAGGACTGCAGAGTACCGCTGGAAGACAAGACAAACCGCAGGAGTGGGCAGAAAAATGGCTATTAAAGTTTGACTCCAATAAGTGTAAGGTAATTGAGATAGGAAAGGAAGATAGAAAGACTAGAAGCAATATACACACACTATAAAGGGGAGGCAACTACAAGAATCATAAACTTGCGAATGAGTATTATTGCAGCACTAACACCAGAAGCAGATAACCAGGATAACATTAACAGTACAGTTGCACCTCCAAAATCTATACCTCCCTATAACAAATCCCTCAAAACAATGGACCAAATTTGGCAACCAGATTTCTCATCCAAAATTCTAAATTTTCAGACACACCCAGCATTGAACAAAATGAAATGCCACTTTTTGGATGAGCGCCAGTGGCTCCTTGAAGCTATTTCTCTAGGATTGTTCCATGCAAATGGGTCACATCAGACACAGGAGTTCTGTTTGCCTACTGGGAACCACAGCCAACACCTGGCCCCCTTCACAAAGCCGTGGAGAGCAAGAGACATTTTGCCATCACACTGCGAAAGCATCCAGAAAGTCGGTGAAGCTTTACAGAGAAGTGGAGGGTTAACAAAGACCAAAACCTCAAAAATGTCAAAGAACTCCGCTAATGATTCACACAGAATAAAAGAAACATCCAATGCAAAAAGAAGTGAAATGGTAGAGGCAGTCCATATACTGTATATATATATACAGTTCAAATGTAGATATAATGAGAGACCAAATAGGCTCTGAAATCCCAGCACCAAGTGATTGAAGGTCACAAGGCAAGATCAAAAAGTCAAAACTCATCACTTGTAAGCACAATTATAAGTTTTTGTTTGCCACACCAGTGGTACAGCCTTCTCATGCACCCATTGTGCTTCATCACTTCCTAACCAGGCTTTCAATGCATCACTTACCTTTCCTAAAGAAATGTTGAAAAAAAGTTTTGATTAAGAACAATGCCTGAAACTTTCATACCTCTGGGGTTGGCATTGCTGTTTTTGATGAAGGCTTGTGCACAACATTTTCTTCAGACTGTGTATCACTATCATTCTGATCATCAGGTAATGAAACATCCGTAAGTTTGTATTGCCTGCAGCGGATTATGAAGTCCCTAAAATACACATTTGCTAGTCTTAAAACTTCCAATCGATCAATGTCTGTGCGTTTAAGAGAGAGGGAACCAAGGAGGACTGGCAGCAAGAGGAACTTGATTGAGGATGTGGGCAGTTCATCAAGTGTTTCGTTAGTGCTGAAAACCCCAAGTTCTGACACCAACACTGTAGTCTTGATCAATCCATCTATACCTTCTTTAATCTTTTCCTGGAAGAAAATGAAAAGTTCAGTATGCTTATCTTTAGTTCCAAACACACCACAAAATTTTATTCAACCGATTACAACATAACTGGTCCACAAGAAAATTTGGGTAAATAAATAAAAACCCTAAGAATCTCTTCATAAACAATGTATAATATTGATTTACATAGGGCCAGATTCTAGGTTTGTCTTGCCTTGATACAATGTTTTATTTAAATAAAACTACAGGTCTGACATTTAATGTAAATTATTATAATACAAAATTAGTGTCATGCAAGTCGTAAATTGCATCTCAAATTTTCTCAAAGCATTTAAATCTCCACCTATATCAATCACCAATAATGAATCTAATCAAAACTTCCTGTACAGTACAGCACTAACAACCACCCTGCTCCCCCCCCACTGTTGCACCAACAACCCCACACTGTTGTACCAAAAAAACAAACTGATGCACCCTCCCTATTGTTGTACCAACAATCCTCCCCTCCTTGTTGCACCAACAACATCCCCCCCCAAACTAATGCACCAACAACCATCCCCCCAAACTAATGCACCAACAACCATCCCCCCTAACTAATGCACTAACAACCAAACCCCCAAACTAATGCACCAACAACCATCCCCCCCCTAACTAATGCACCAACAACCATCCCCCCCTAACTAATGCACCAACAACCATCCCCCCCTAACTAATGCACCAACAACCATCCCCCCCTAACTAATGCACCAACAACCATCCCCCCCTAACTAATGCACCAACAACCATCCCCCCCCCTAACTAATGAACCAACAACCATCCCCCCTAACTAATGAACCAACAACCATCCCCCCCTAACTAATGCACCAACAACCATCCCCCCCTAACTAATGAACCAACAACCATCCCCCCCAAACTAATGAACCAACAACCATCCGCCCCAAACTAATGCACCAACAACCTCCCCCCCTAACTAATGCACCAACAACCATCCTCCCCCTAACTAATGCACCAACAACCATCCCCCCCCTAACTAATGCACCAACAACCATCCCCCCCTAACTAATGCACCAACAACCATCCCCCACCTAACTAATGCACCAACAACCATCCCCCCTAACTAATGCACTAACAACCATCCCCCCTAACTAATGCACTAACAACCATCCCCCCTAACTAATGCACCAACAACCATCCTCCCCCCTAACTAATGCACCAACAACCATCCCCCCCCCCCCTAACTAATGCACCAACAACCATCCTCCCCCCCCCCCTAACTAATGCACCAACAACCATCCCCCCCTAACTAATGCACCAACAACCATCCCCCCCCTAACTAATGCACCAACAACCATCCCCCCCCCCTAACTAATGCACCAACAACCATCCCCCCCCCCTAATGCACCAACAACCATCCCCCCCCCTAACTAATGCACCAACAACCATCCCCCCCCCTAACTAATGCACCAACAACCATCCTCCCCCCTAACTAATGCACCAACAACCATCCCCCCCCCTAACTAATGCACCAACAACCATCCCCCCCTAAGTAATGCACCAACTACCCCTCTGTACAGACGCAATCAACCAGACGCAAGAACACACCTGAAGTTCCTCAGAACTGGTCGGTAAGATAGACTTCTGAACATCTTGGTGGATCTGTAGGGATTTCTCCAGGAGGGAGGCGACTGACGGGTACTCCTCGTCCGCCATGCTTGTCAACACTAGCGCCTACCAGCCTAAACTAACATGCAGCCTAAACTAACATGCAGCCTAAACTAACATGCAGCCTAAACTAACATGCAGCCTAAACTAACATGCAGCCTAAACTAATATGTAGCCTAAACTAATATGCAGCCTAAACTAATATGCAGCCTAAACTAATATGCAGCCTAAACTAATATGCAGCCTAAACTAATATGCAGCCTAAACTAATATGCAGCCTAAACTAACATGCAGCTTAAACTAATATGCAGCCTAAACTAATATGCAGCCTAAACTAATATGCAGCCTAAACTAACATGCAGCCTAAACTAATATGCAGCCTAAACTAACATGCAGCTTAAACTAATATGCAGCCTAAACTAATATGCAGCCTAAACTAATATGTAGCCTAAACTAATATGCAGCCTAAACTAATATGCAGCCTAAACTAATATGCAGCCTAAACTAATATGCAGCCTAAACTAATATGCAGCCTAAACTAATATGCAGCCTAAACTAATATGCAGCCTAAACTAACATGCAGCTTAAACTAATATGCAGCCTAAACTAATATGCAGCCTAAACTAATATGCAGCCTAAACTAACATGCAGCTTAAACTAATATGCAGCCTAAACTAATATGCAGCCTAAACTAATATGCAGCCTAAACTAATATGCAGCCTAAACTAATATGCAGCCTAAACTAATATGCAGCCTAAACTAATATGTAGCCTAAACTAATAATAGCTTTATTATTTTCAGAAGAGCTAAGCACTGGTCTGATTTATACTTACCTAGTTGTACTTGCGGGGGTTGAGCTTTGACTCTTTGGTCCCGCCTTTCATCTGTCAATTAAGTGGTGTACAGATTCTTGAGCCTACTGGGCTCTTATCAAATCTACATTTGAAACTGTGTATTGAGTCTGCCTTTACCACATCACTTCCTAATGCATTCCATTTGTTAACTACTCTGACACTAAAATAAAATTCTAATGTCTCTGTGGCTTATTTAGGTACTAAGTTTCCACCTGTGTCACCCTGTTCTTGTCCACCCATGCTAAATAGTTTGCCTGTGTCATGAACTATGTGTTGGGAGTGAGTTTGATGCGGGATAGTCACATTAACGTAATGTATCAAGGAGAAAATCAGTGGGAGCCATGAGATGGATTCGAACCTCCATACTGGGTATTCCCAAGCACACACCTTAGGCCTCAGGACCATGATATGCCACACAAATAATGTAATCTTGGATTCAATTAAATCCTCTAGGGGTCCCGAAGGATTCATCTGAAACTAAGTCAGGGTTTCACATATTATCCCCAAGAATAATGGGGAGACTTTTTGACAAACTATTGGCTTCCAATCCCGTTGAGACCACGAGACATTGCAGCCTGTAGCCCCTAAAGTAAATTCAGGTAAAGTAGGACATGTCATAAATAAACAATCTGACTAATCTTTGATTTAAAGGAAAAAATGCTGTAATTTAGCCACTTTGGAAGAAGTTACTGAGAATTATATAAAATATATATAAATGTAATAATTTCCCCTGTAAATATAATCTCTAAAACTGTAAATCATTTAAAGAAAATAAGTATAACATTTAGGGATTTAAAATTCATGTTCTGTGATAATATGAAACACTTGTTCACTGAGAATTATACTACTGTATATGTAATGTAGTATTTCCTTGTAAAATTGATGTATATATGATTTATATTGTATATTAAATAAAGATAAAAAAAAAAACTTTGGAAGAAGTTCAACACAGAACGGCAAAAATCTTCCCGAGCTACTTCAACTTTCAACCAGGAACGATTGAGTGCCACAAAACTAACTATACAGACCAAACACAACAGGCCTAATGCCATCGAGACCTATAAAATACTAAATAAATTGAAAGATATTAATCCAGACCACTTCTTCAATGTTAAGCAAACAAGGGGTATACATCTTCAAGTACAGCTAGTTAGCTTCGTTCTGAACGCTTATTCGTGGATCACAGGTTCGATTTCCGGCCAGAACAGAAATGATTTCCTACTTTTCCTTTCGCCTAATCCCTTTTGTTCACTTAGCATTACTTATTTCTGGTTTCCTGTCCTTTACAAAATAAATTATTTAGCCAGGATCACATACAGCCATACAAACCAGCGAGGGGTTAATGTGTCATACAACCATACAAGTAAGCACGGGGGTTAATATATCATACAATCAGCACAGGGTTAATATATCACACATCCATACAAGTCAGCACAGGGTTAATATATCACACATCCATACAAGTCAGCACAGGGTTAATATATCATACAACTATACAAGTCAGCACAGGGTTAATATATCATACAACTATACAAGTCAGCACAGGGTTAATATATCACACATCCATACAAGTCAGCACAGGGTTAATATATCATACAACTATACAAGTCAGCACAGGGTTAATATATCACGCATCCATACAAGTCAGCACAGGGTTAATATATCATACAACTATACAAGTCAGCACAGGGTTAATATATCACACATCCATACAAGTCAGCACAGGGTTAATATATCATACAACTATACAAGTCAGCACAGGGTTAATATATCACACAACCATACAAGTCAGCACAGGGTTAATATATCATACAACTATACAAGTCAGCACAGGGTTAATATATCACACAACCATACAAGTCAGCATAGGGTTAATATATCACACAACCATACAAGTTAGCACAGGGTTAATATATCACACAACCATACAAGTCAGCACGGAGTTAATATATCACACAACCATACAAGTCAGCACGGGGTTAATATATCACACAACCATACAAGTTAGCACAGGGTTAATATATCACACAACCATACAAGTCAGCACGGAGTTAATATATCACACAACCATACAAGTCAGCACAGGGTTAATATATCATACAACTATACAAGTCAGCACAGGGTTAATATATCACACAACCATACAAGTCAGCACGGGGTAATATATCACACAACCATACAAGTCAGCACAGGGTTAATATATCACACAACCATACAAGTCAGCACGGAGTTAATATATCACACAACCATACAAGTCAGCACGGGGTTACAGGAGTCACAGGAGGCTGAGAATTTAAATCTATCGTGTGAACCGATCCTGTTAACCGAATATAAATATTCACCTATCGCTTAATTCTGAACTCCAAACACCGCAATAATATAACAAATTCATTACACACAGAGATCACACTAACGTGATGCATCAAATGAACAAATCCACAAGGGCCGTGACGAGGATTCGAACCTGCGTCCGGGAGCATCCCAGACATTAATCGACTGAGGGTTAATGTGGATAGATATGTGGATCAACACTTGTGGATTTGTTCATAACAAATTCAGTTTGGGGTCTCACGACCCTCGTTGTGAGTGCAATGTAACGTCCTAAAAATCTATGTGGCTTTTCGGAAAGTTAACAAGAAAGTCTGAGCTTGGAAATATACCACAGTTCCTATACAGGAAATTGCACCACTCGATGAAATATTGCTAGCCTCTCTGATATGCATCAATAGAAATAGTGCAACTGTGAGAGAGGCATGCTATGATGTTAGTTTAATATGTATATATATGTGTGTACGGTATATACTGTCTATTTTGCTTGCTTTTAATCAGTTCAGTTTGTGTTATGGAGCAACCGGCAACAGTGTACGGACGCGGCCCGAGCACCGGAGAATGACTAGTAGGAGACGATAGCCGGCCATCGTGGAGACAGGTAGGCCAGGAGGTATTCCCTCTAGGGAATATGTCGCTAATTATTGTATTGTGTAATGTTTAGGAGTGGATATAAACATTGTTGTTGAGTGTGGCGTTATATTGTGTCGTGATCCGGCGAATGAGTCCCGTGGAACATATGTATGCTGAGTCACGTGTGTTGACATCACGATGTAAATACTGGAGATCCGCGAGCGCACGGCAAGTCACGTGCGTGCGTGTCACCACGGGTGTGTGCGTGTCATCACGGGTGTGCGTGTCACCACGTGTGTGCGTGTCATCACGGGTGTGCGTGTCACCACGTGTGTGCGTGTCACCACGGGTGTGTGCGTGTCATCACGGGTGTGCGTGTCACCACGTGTGTGCGTGTCATCACGGGTGTGCGTGTCACCACGTGTGTGCGTGTCATCACGTGTGTGCGTGTCATCACGTGTGTGCGTGTCACCACGAGTGTGCGTGACACCACGGGTGTGCGTATCACCACGGGTGTGCGTGTCACCATGTGTGTGTGCGTGTCACCACGGGTGTGTGCGTGTCAGCACGGGTGTGCGTATCACCACGGGTGTGCGTGTCACCACGTGTGTGTGCGTGTCACCACGGGTGTGTGCGTGTCACCACGGGTGTGCGTATCACCACGGGTGTGCGAGTCACCACGTGTGTGTGCGTGTCACCACGGGTGTGTGCGTGTCAGCACGGGTGTGCGTCTCACCACGGGTGTGCGTGTCACCACGGGTGTGCGTGTCGCAGGTGGTGGTGTCCTGGGGGCAGCGGAAACCTCCTTAAAGCCATACTTCCGTCTTCCCGCCTTAAATCCTTCCTTCCTCCTTCTCACAAGTTTTCATTCACGATCGACAGAAAACTTCATGGCATTGACTTGAAACTTGAAATAGTTTCAAGAAATCAAGGAAAGTCCTGGATGTTACTGCAAGTGAGAAATGTAAGCCAGGAGTTAGTCACTGGTTGTGGGCTTACATCCTGGGAAGGGTCAGTAGTTTGACCCTGTGGTGACCCTGATGGTAGACAACACAGAGCTATGCGCCCCCCGACAAAATGAATTACCGTATTATTATTATTATTATTATTATTATTATTATTATTATTATTATTATTATTATTATTATTATTATTATTATTATTATTATATAATAGGCTGCATGCATAGTTTTATGACAGGCTACATTGTTTTGTTTATCTGATGCTATACGGATAGTTTTTTTTATCTTAGGGTACATAAATTGCTTGATGATTTTATGCTACATAAACAGTTTTATGATAGACTACATAGCAATGTTTATGATTTTAGGCTACATAAAAAGTTTTAAGTACTTTATCAGATATGATAAAGCCCTTACAGACGAAACGTTATCTACAATAATTTCTATTGGTGTTTTTCTACATGGTTGTCGGTACTCTGTGTTCACTCTAACCTTCTATATCATAATCCCTTCTTCTATAGCCTCCTGTCTTACGGGCTATTCATGCCCGTGCCACCTCTTGGGGTGGCTTAATCTTCATCAATCAACCTCCTGTCACAATTCCCCCCTTACTACACTCCTTCCATCTCCTCCAGCTCCACCTCCTTCACAAAGCCTCAACTCTCACCACAAGTGTGTTATCAGACAAAGATTAGACAAGGCGTGCTGTTGCTTTGTACCGTGTTTAATGCTTGCATGACGATTTTACAATATATTAAATTAAACACAAATCGAGGGCTTATTTATAAATATAGAATTACAGAATATTATGGAACTCTCAAGTTTCTTGTAGCCACAGCGTGTAGGTTTCAGTCCATTAAATTTAGGAAAGGTGGTGAAGAGTAGAGAAAGTGGTGAAGGAGAGGGAATGTAGTAATGACGATGTTGGGTGGAAATTGTGCCACAATCTTGTGATAGTGAAGATGGACACTGTGATGAAGATAGTGTGTAGTGAAGATGTGGCTCAAGTCACCTGAACAGCGCCGGGTACCCCCAGTAGTATATGTAGTATGTATATAAATATTTATATTTCCTGTTAACATTTTATAATTTTTGCTAGAAATTACCTACTTAATACCTTTTGCTTTAAAATGGCACTGTATCTATTGCTACCCAATCTCCCAATCTTTATGTACCCAATCCGAACATCTTTACCACTGTAATCATTGCTGTCGTCTTATATGTGCTGTCAATCTGCTGTATGGTGTCTATTAATTTTGTTTAAATTACCAATCAAGCTGTCAATGTAATCAATCAGAGCTTTAATATACCAATGTGCTTTATTATACTTACTAATCTCTCTCATCTCATTTTTTTCTTGCAATGTATTTGTTATCATTTTATTAATTCTGCTAGAATTTACCTACTTAAAATTATCTGTTAGATTAAGGACCTGCCCGAAACGCTGCGCGTACTAGTGGCTTTACAAGATTGTAAATACTATGCTATGTATTCTCACAAACCCAATGTACCTTCTTGTATATAAATAAATAAATAAATAAATAAATAAATAAATAAATAAATATTATCTGTTAGATTAAGGACCTGCCCGAAACGCTGTGCATACTAGTGGCTTTACAAGAATGTAAACACATCATGCTATGTACTCTCATAAACCCAATGTAACTTCTTGTATATATATATATAAATAAAAATAAATAAATTAATATGTATATATTGGTGTATACTGGCAGCAGGTTTTCATTTAGACATGTTTCACTGAATATGACTGCCTATTCTGTGTTGATTATTTTCTTGTTTAGGGCTTCTATCCCTCTGACTAGTGCTCTTGCATCTTGGTTTAATTGGAAGAGGATTTCTCTAAATGTCATTTTTGTTCTAGTTAAACTAAAATAATAAATAACTGTAGAATGTATTACACTTATTATAAATTTACACAACGTTTCGAACCTACATGGTTCATTCTCAAGTGATGGGACTGTACTATTGTTTGCCGTTGTTATAGATTTAGCTACTCATAATGAAATGTCCATGTAGCAGGGGATATAGTGACCCCGTAATTCAGTTCGATTATTCACGATATATTGTTACCGTGATATTTGGGTCAGAGTTATAAATGCAGGTGGGATTTCCTCCTTTTCTCCTGTTTCTTTTCCACTTCTGTTTTAGCGCACTGGTTTTAGTCTTTTGTTTTAATAATATTATCTTGGTGGTGGGTATAGATGCGCAGTGTTCACTAGTGTGTCCCATTCTTCAACTACTTTTCTAACCATTGTAGTTGCTATGGATTTTGCATTTAATGTAGCTGCTCTTGTTGGATGAATGTTGAGTTTGATGCGCAGGGCTTCAGTTGCTTCACATTCCAGTAAGTAGTGCAATAGTGCACTACTACTTTTCCACAAGCTGAAAATTGAGACAGTTTCGGGTTGTGTTTCCAGGGCTAGGCTGTCGTCAAAACTTCGTCGCTTTTAACCAGCAGTGTCGCTCCTTGTTTTGCTCGCTTCTGGGTAATGTGTTCTCTTGAGTACATCTACCTTCACACAGGGGCCTGATGGCTGAGTGGACAGCACTCGGGGTTTGTAGTCCTAAGGGTCCGGGTTCGATCCCCAGTGGAGGCGGAAACAAATGGGCAGTTTTTTTTCACCCTGATGCACTTTTCACCTAGCAATAAATAGGTTCCTGGGAGTTAGACAGCTGTTTCCTGGTGTGTGTGTGTGACCGAATAGTAACTAATGGTTTGTGCACATCTCGACATGATTTGTGCACATGACGACATGGTTTGTGCTCATGCCATGATTTCCTGAACCAGGAACCCCGACGTCATCTGATGGAGAACTGTCATGTCGATTTTTCTTCAAAAACTGTCTTTGTAAAGAAAAATTTATCACACCAGCATATATCTCACCGCTTACAACTGAAAATTTTAAATTTCGTCCATTACGTAATCAGGAATTGTCAGTACATTTTACCAGTTAACCTTTTGTTGTTAAGTATTTTGAATATCAGGCACAAATTTAAATGTGTTTGGGTTGTGGCAGTGAGTGAGAATTAAGTTTAAAATAGTATCAAAATAGATATTGACTAATTTATAATGTTAACAATTCCGTGCATTTGTGTTAGTTTAATCTGTAATGTAACTTGAAACTTGAATTTCGTACAAAAACGATGCCCTTGTTCCCAATGCGAGGCCTTTATAACCGCCTATATTAAATAAATTTATTTAGACAGGAACGGTTAGTTGCCGATTAAATGTTTTGTATTCCACTGTATTTTCATTATCATCCAACTTCATTACTCGACAGATGTGGATGAAAGCGACGTTAGTGGTGATGGTGGTGGTGGAGGCGGCAGCCGCAGTCTCCATCGTCTCCCTGGCACAAGATGAATGGGACCTTTTCAAGGTGATAAGTATAAACATTATTGTTTTATCTCCATATACACACAGAAATCACAATAACGTAATCTATCAAATGAACAAATCCATAAGGGCTGTTGGTGAGGATTCGAACCTACGCACGGGATGTGCCCAGATGGGCCTTAGTCAACTGAGAGAGAGAGAGAAGATTAAGCCACCCAAAAGGTGGCTTGGGCATGAATAGCCCATAAGTGGTGGCCCTTTTGAGCCATTTCCAGTATCAATAGATGATACTGGAGATCTGTGGAGGTGCGACTGCACCCTGCGTGACGGGAGATGTCTCCCGTGTTAGTCAACTGTTTCACTATAGGCTTCCTCACCACGGGCCTTGTGGATTTGTTCATTATCTCTATATAGTTATTTAACCTGAGCGGAGTGTGCCGGTCTGAAGCATACTTGACCGGCCAGCAGACAGATTTATACTATTATTTCACGTATGAGTAATCTTTAGCACAAGTATACCCATGCGGAATTTTGGTTTGATTTTGAACATCATATGGAGGCTTTTCAATCTTCTGAATGAATGCATATTTGTGTAGATACTAATATAATCTTGGGTAATTATTATATATATTTTCGTTGTGAATTTTGTACTAATATTATCATAATAGTAATTACATTCGTGCAAAATTAAAGAATGTTTCTTTATTACCCGAGTTTTTTAAGCTGAATTTCACACAACAGTTCGTATTATGCTTATTTGAAATTACGGCGGGAAAGGTGGGGGTAGGGATGGAACTATCAGGGGAAAGCGCCAAACCATTACGACTATATAGCACTTGGAAGGGGTCAGGATAAGGATTTGGGATGGGACGGGGGGGAAGGAATGGTGCCCAACCACTTGGACGTTCGGGGATTTAACGCCGACCTGCAGGAAGCGAGACCGTCTCTCTACCGATCAGCCCAATTGATTGGAAGGCAATGGGGGGGGGGAGAAGAGATTTACTCTGTCCTAAAATAGGAACCCGTTGGGCATGAACAAGTTAAAATAAGTGGTCAGAACGTGACCTTGGCATGCTGTCCTCTCTTGAATTCTGGCGACCCCGATCAGTCTGTCCGTCCCGTACCCAAGACATACACCCGTGCAAAGTTGGGTGAGACTAGCCGCAAGCGTCTGACCTCCAACCTTGGATAGAGAGAGAAACAGATATTCTCTCATAAATATAGATTGTGAAAATGTACAACAATAAATATTTTAACCTTAATCGAGTATATTTTGTTTATAAAAATAGAGGCGCATTAATGTTGGTTGTGGTCTAACAAGGTAAATTACCAATTATTTATTATGCACCCCATAACCATCCAGTGGGCGGTGGTGGAAAGGGTTACAGAGGCACATAATGGGTTCAGGAACTGAACCACCATAGTTCGTTTAGCTAAACAATTGACATTCTTTTGAAGCTAGTTACACAATTGCTAATGTTACCAGACATGAAGAATCTTATTTTTTCAGGTGACATTTAAGCTTTTGTGCAGCATGGCGAGACACTAGGATAACTTATTCTATTTTTCCTCTTTTTGTATAACTAAAAGCTGCCGTAGTGAAAAACTGTTTACATACAGTCTCCGGGTTTGTGTCAGTGTGCACTTGAGAGTAGCAGCACCAGGGGCGTGTGGAGTGTCAACAGCCTGGGGCCAGATTCACGAAGCAGTTACGCAATCACTTACGAACCTGTACATCTTTTCTCAATCTTTGGCGGCTTTGTTTACAATTATTAAACAGTTAACGAGCTCCGAAGCACCAGGAGGCTGTTTATAACAATATCAACAGTTGATTGGCAAGTTTTCATGCTTGTAAACTGTTTAATAAATGTAACCAAAGCCGTCAAAGATTGAGGAAAGATGTACACGTTCGTAAGTGCTTGCGTAACTGCTTCGTGAATCTGGCCCCAGGCTGTTGAAATTCATGGTTTATTCATAGTGGCTCTGTGGTTGTCATCTTAAGAATTTTGAATCAAACCTGATCAGCACAATAGACTTTTGACAAGCCGCTGGAGCTTCCTGTCCCTACTGTAGTTCCCATGAGTGACTACGATGCTCTAGGCTGTATCCATATCTAGCATCTATGTGTGATTTCACGAACTATTTTGTTTATATGCTTCTTATATCTTTCAATAATATGTCATTGTTTTCTGACATTGGAATATTTCTGCAGCTGGAACAGAAGAAGCAGTATAACAACACAGTGGAAGATAATTTCCGCATGAAGATCTTTCTCGACAACAAACACAGGGTGATGGAACACAACAAACTTTATGCGCAGAATCTCACTTCTTTCAAGCTCGAAGTCAACCAATTTGGAGATATGGTACGTCTTTTGATTTTTTTAGTGGAAGCACACGACTTATCACTCATTAGCAGTTAGAATTTTATCTTACCACAACTCACCAATTTAGCTTTATCCTGGTTGTTTTCCCTGTAACACGACCTGGCAATCAGTCTACAACCAGGTCCCCAATCTTTATTTATACGCATATATCCTGTCCAGGGGACAAGAAACCCCTAACTTCCTGCCCGAAACGCTTTGCGTAATAGTGGCTTTAGGCATTGTATGTACTAGCTCTATCTATAAATCTATCAATTTTTGTAAAATCTCTTGTATGTATGTACCTTAATGAATAAACATGTATTTATTTATTTATTATTAATTTGTTTGTCGACGGTTTACACATTAAAAAAATAAATTCCACGTGTTCACTTGCAATTCCGTGCCAGACTCAACCATGCTTACTCTGCTTTAAACAACGGGTTTTGATGCATTGATATTTATACGTTATTTGTCTTCCTCTGTATAGCCACAATGACATTGCTCTCTCTTCTGATAATTAACTTACCTTGTCTTACTCTGTTTATTACTCCTGTATAGCTATTAACAAGACAGGGATACGATAAAGGTGGTCAGGCAGGTTTATTGTAATTTTGGTAAATTAAATATAATTATTGTTATTGTTGATATATATCGTATTTATTTTATCCGTATTAGTTTAATTAATAACCTGCATTTGGCATTAACGTGCCTCAGAAAACATCGAAAGAAATTTAATAATAATTTCCAATGAATTATTAGTGATAACTTGATGACAAAATAATACACGAAAGCATTTCGCTCATGTATTGTATAATAATATGATTAAGTAGCATTTAATAGGTTATAAATTTAGACTTACGGATGACATAAGTTTTAATAAACAAGCGTTGTAGGGTCATGTAATGAGGCTATTTCAATATTTAATGTATTTCAGAACTTTTTATTTTGTTTCTTTGTATCTTCCTGCTTTTAGTCACTAGTTATATTTATATTGATTACTAAACGATGTCCTTAGTACCCCAGTTATGTTCCCTTGCATTACCCATTATTTAAAAAAAAAAGTTATACACTTAATCTTATTCAAAAATTTCGTCCAGGTGTTTGGCCACCGTTTCTTTCCTCAAATCGTAAATCCTTATCCTCATATCTCTTCCTAGCACTATATACTCTTAATGAATTAGTGCTTTCTCCTAGTAATTTGCCTTACGTTACCTTATTCAACAGCTTAGAGAAGAAATTATAGCGTCAGTGACTGGCTTCGACAAGGTGAACATCAGTGCTGTGATCAACAATGTTGGGTCCACCTACATTCCTCCTGACGGAGACGTACAGCTCCCCTCCACCGTAGACTGGCGCCTCAAGGGCGCTGTCACCGGTGTCAAGAGTCAGGGGCAGTGTGCCTCTGGGTGGGCATTTGCAACGGTGAGTCAAATTACTACAAATAGTTTGAAAAGCTTTGCAAAATCAATACTTAACATGTTTTCATCTTTGAGAAAGTGTGGTCCATCGAGGAGTTTTGTTCAGTAGTAGCCTTATGGTTGTGAAGGTATCCCCTACTGAGACCTGTTCAGTAGTAGCTTTGTGCTAGAGAAAGTATCCCCTATTCATGTCGGAAAATCCGACACCATTTAATATCATACAGATAATAGCTGCTGTATTACCAACAAGTTACCCATAGAAAACGTAACTTGTAGTGGAATTACCGTCTAAAGAAAACGGGATATCATCACCACATACCATTATAAATTCACCAGCTATTCTGCTGGGAATTATTCTTAAATACATTAGTCTTTGGACTTTACCATCATAAAAACATCTTATATAAATTAACTTAATTATCAATATTAAAGTAGAATAAATGTGACCCTTCTATCACGTTCTGAAATCTGGACAATGTAAGCCAGGCGTCAGAGTGGAGGAAGGAGGGCAGCCATCATTGTTGTTTATATGAGACCAGAGGCTCACACGGGAGCAAATTCGGCTCCTGTTAAATTTACTTGGACGTAGTGTTATGGAACCCAAAGGTGTACCATTGTCAACACGCTGTCTACAAATACAAGTTAAGTGTCTATCCGAAACCCGTTTATCATTCATTTATGGCCATTAGTCAGGATATAGGGTTAGCCGGTTAGAACGCGAAATCGCCTCAAACTAAAGGTAATTAAGCCAGGTCCTCATGTTCCATGTACTGTTTTCTCTGATATACTTGTCATATATAGGATTCTGGCTTCACAGCTAGCGCACTTTTGACAGGTCAAGACGAGGATGCAAGATTATGTGCACCAGTTACTGGGTGATAGAAGCTACCTCAAAGAGGATAATTTGGTGTCTACACTCTAGTTATACCTGGTGGACTAACCTGCTGTACTATAAGAGAAGGAACCTCATCAATGTATGTAGCTATTACTGTAATTTGATTGGCTGCATATGTGTAATATAAACCCCCCTAATGTGTAGAGGATCGATTTGTGAGATTAAGAGATTATTGCAGAAATACAGTCCACTTAACATTATACAAATTGCTATCGAAGTATATAAATTAACGTAAATATAAATTCATATAAATTAAATAAATATAAATCTCACAGGTCGGTTCCCACATTATATGGTCATCTTCGAACCGGATGACGGATTATTTGATCCTTTGAACCCACATTTGGTCATCTTAGTACCGGATGAACCAGTTAACCAAACCAGTGGATTCATTAAATATACTAGTGCAGTGTTATTTAAACAAAGGCCAGCCAGTCAAAGACAGCGGCGAAGCCTCGTGGGAGCTCAGGAGCCTCCCTCAGCCGAGTTCAGCCTTAGTCAGCGGTTTCATGCACACCCACAGATATTTGGTGGCGTGTTATTTCGTGAAATGACAGCGCTAATATAGAATCCAGCCAAATTAGTGACTGTGTCTTCGCGAGATTGTTCACGGATTTCGTGGTGTTACATTTCGCGAGAGATTATCTACGAATTTTGTGGAGTTTATTTCGCGAGGTCACTAATAACATTTAATACTTCTAGATAATATTAGAAGTTTCATAGAGGCTAATTAAGAGGCTATTATCAATAATTGTGTATATTATTTCTCCAAAATAGAGAATTATTTAATATATTGCACTAGTGATCACAGTATAATATTTACTAATTGCCAACCCACAACAGGGTAGGATAAAACCATTGACTAGTTGAACTATTATCGTTCATCCTAGTCCCATTATTACCATAGTCAGTTGTACTATATTGATCAACCTAACACCATTAATGAATGGTCCAGACCCTATTTTGGGTGTAATTTTTATCAACTCGAGTTGAGTTGTGTATATATAATAATTTACTTATGATCATTACACCTTTGAGTGATTAATTAGTGTCTCTACCATCCTAGGGTGATATAGAAGAGCTAACCTAAAGGTACTTCCAGTGACACTGGTTTATCACTCAAATCATTAGTGTGTATGATTGTATATATATAATGTGTATTAATTTTAAGTGCTAACCTCTAGTAGAGGTAGGATTATTGCCTAGTGAGTGCAGAATTTACCCTAGGCTACCATTAGTACTTGCTCACAATTTATGAGCCAGTGGTGCTCAATTAACAAGTCACCATGACTAATCCACAGAAAGCAAAGCGTGCTTTAATATCAAGCAAACGCCAACTAACAAGAGATCTCAACCAATATGAACAGTTGTTATATGAGCCTGTAATTAATTATCATCGGTTGAAAATACCACTGTTACAGATTCAAACCCAATTGCATATATTGAAAGCAAATAGGAAATCTTACCAAAATCAAGTCCACGATGATGTAGTAGTTGAAGATGTGGAACCATTCCTGTCTGACCTTGCACAATATGAAGAAGAAACTCAAGGCAGGTTGGAACATTTACACAGGATAATTGAATCAGAACAAATAGCAAGTACATCAAATAAAGTAGATAATGTTATGGATGATCTGGATCTTTTTGAGAATAAATGTAAAGCCAGATTAGATCCTTTAATCAACAAGGATAAAGCTTCACCCAGTAAAGCTTCACCCACTACAGCTTCACCCAATAATATACCACCAGAAATTAAGCAGTTTTCAGACAATTTATCCACAGTCTCTGTGGTTTCTGAAAACCCAATACCTGAGGCTACTAAGTTAACATGCCTCCAAACTAGAGGTGAAGCTGAACCAGTAGTAGAAAATGTAAATGAAAATAGCGACAGCACTAATTTCCCAGTCCAGCTTCCTAGGAATAATGCTGGCAATGAGAAAACTGTCATACATCTAGTACTACAATTGCTGGATTTACCTCAACCTGATCAGACTGCTGACTCATTACAATCCTTCAGCATGGAGTTTGAGTCACTACTAAGAACATTCAGACTTAAGGTTGATATAACTACTAGTGAATGGATGACCAAAGTAGTCCTTCAACGAAAATTGTCCAGCGATATACTAGATGAATTATATGCACATCAACATAACACCATCCTGACAGTACAGGACATCACTGAAGGTTTACATTCCATCATAAACAAACGACGAGCAAATGAGGAAGTTAAAGCCTCTTGCAAGCCTTCAGAAATAGAAAATAAGAGTCAATTAAAGGGTAAAACAACTACCCCAAATAAACATCAGTCAATTACTCTAACATCAAGTTGCAGAAAATCTGACAATGCAGCAGCATCCTCCAAGCCTACTGTTACTAGTTCACCCAAACCGGTAACTTCCAAACGTGCAGTAGGCTGGGGAACATGTATGTTCTGCAAAAGGAAACATTCAACATACTGTTGTGCTAATTATCCAACCAGAGACACTCGTATGGAGCGACTCCAGGAATTAGGGAGATGTGCAAGGTGTCTCAAGTCACACAACATAGACTATTGTGATACCCAATTCAACACCTGCAACAGGTGTAGAAGAGGTAGACACCATGCAGCACTGTGCAAATATACGAAATTAACGTATTCAAGACCCAAGGTGGAAGATAGCATTCCCACCACAGTACAGTACTGCAAGGTGCAACAAACAAAGAGTGTCCAATCGGCAAAGTCTAAAGGTAATACGACTTTGCCTACTGCCCAAATTACCATCCTGAATAAGAGGGCCAAGGTCCATACCCGTGGGTTGTTTGACCAAGGATCCCAGAGAACATATATTACTAAAAAGTTGGCAGATGAATTACAATTAAGGCCTGTAGCCCAGATGTCATTCAACATCTCAGGGTTTGTAACAGATGCAGGACCTCAAGTCTACCAGGTGGTACAACCATCAGTACGTTTAGGCAGGTACGTCTGTCGAGTACAAGCCATTGTGGTGGACAAAATACCAGTAGACCTACAAGTTCAAGGTCTGAGAGCAACAGCCAAATTCCTGAGAAATAGAGGAATAAAATTGGCAGATAATATTAAGTCTGATCACCTCACCGACTTCGGTCTCCTTGTTGGGACAGACTATTGTCATCGATTCATCGGTAGCCCTACTAAATATCAGGGTATAACCATGTTAAACTCTGCAGGAGGTAAATTACTCTCAGGCCCAGTATCAAGCCTGAGGAGACCTATGCCTGCAGATAAACAATACCAGTAGAAACCTAAATTTGTCAGCTGATTATATTTCTCCAGTAGCATTATACTAAGGAGATTACAGCTGACTATACCAACAGAGGTTGATGTTAGTATCATCATTTAAAGCTGGAGTTGAGTTCATGAGGCCTCAGTGGCAAATCAGTGAACAGTAGCCTAAAACAGCTACAAGTCACTGCGACCAATGTCACTGAACCCACTGCAGTCTCAGAACCATACTTTACTTTAATGATGAGCTATTCAATCTTCTGAATCAATTAACTAAATTAAACCCCAATAAATTTGATGACTGATTTGATACATTTATTATTTAATCAAGATGTATTCCATGGGCCTCAGTGTTTATATATCAGTGACCAGTTACCTGAACAAACTTCAAGTTATATCTAATGTCACTGATCTCACTGCAGTCCCTGAATCATACTTGACTGTAGTACTTGATCACATCCAGTCTTCTGGGTTAAATAATATGTAATAAGGCTTGAATATTAGCCTTTCAAGAGTTGACAGGGAAATGAAATCGCATTAGACTTCTAACCCCTGCAACTCTAGTACGGGACATCCGTCCTGTACGAACAGACGCACAAATGTGTGATTAATCTAATAATTCGAAGGAGGAGTATCGGTGTTCGTCTGTTCTAAAGAGGACTTCGACCCGTGAGCAGCCCCCTGGGAAATTATGTCGGAAAATCCGACACCATTTAATATCATACAGATAATAGCTGCTGTATTACCAACAAGTTACCCATAGAAAACGTAACTTGTAGTGGAATTACCGTCTAAAGAAAACGGGATATCATCACCACATACCATTATAAATTCACCAGCTATTCTGCTGGGAATTATTCTTAAATACATTAGTCTTTGGACTTTACCATCATAAAAACATCTTATATAAATTAACTTAATTATCAATATTAAAGTAGAGTAAATGTGACCCTTCTATCACGTTCTGAAATCTGGACAATGTAAGCCAGGCGTCAGAGTGGAGGAAGGAGGGCAGCCATCATTGTTGTTTATATGAGACCAGAGGCTCACACGGGAGCAAATTCGGCTCCTGTTAAATTTACTTGGACGTAGTGTTATGGAACCCAAAGGTGTACCATTGTCAACACGCTGTCTACAAATACAAGTTAAGTGTCTATCCGAAACCCGTTTATCATTCATTTATGGCCATTAATGTCAGGATATAGGGTTAGCCGGTTAGAACGCGAAATCGCCTCAAACTAAAGGTAATTAAGCCAGGTCCTCATGTTCCATGTACTGTTTTCTCTGATATACTTGTCATATATAGGATTCTGGCTTCACAGCTAGCGCACTTTTGACAGGTCAAGACGAGGATGCAAGATTATGTGCACCAGTTACTGGGTGATAGAAGCTACCTCAAAGAGGATAATTTGGTGTCTACACTCTAGTTATACCTGGTGGACTAACCTGCTGTACTATAAGAGAAGGAACCTCATCAATGTATGTAGCTATTACTGTAATTTGATTGGCTGCATATGTGTAATATAAACCCCCCCTAATGTGTAGAGGATCGATTTGTGAGATTAAGAGATTATTGCAGAAATACAGTCCACTTAACATTATACAAATTGCTATCGAAGTATATAAATTAACGTAAATATAAATTCATATAAATTAAATAAATATAAATCTCACAGGTCGGTTCCCACATTATATGCTGCCCCCCTTCCCCACTGACGCCTGGCTTACATTGTCCAGATTTCAGAACGTGATAGAAGGGTCACATTTACTCTACTTTAATATTGATAATTAAGTTAATTTATATAAGATGTTTTTATGATGGTAAAGTCCAAAGACTAATGTATTTAAGAATAATTCCCAGCAGAATAGCTGGTGAATTTATAATGGTATGTGGTGATGATATCCCGTTTTCTTTAGACGGTAATTCCACTACAAGTTACGTTTTCTATGGGTAACTTGTTGGTAATACAGCAGCTATTATCTGTATGATATTAAATGGTGTCGGATTTTCCGACAATTCAGGCCTTTTATTCATTGATAGCCAATAACTTAAAAAAACGTGACCTGTTGAGGCTTCGTGTTCAGTAATAGCATAAATTAAACACTAGGTAATCCTGATGCATAATTCATACACATAACAATCACAAAACTCGAGCATAAACAGGGAAACAAGAAAAACAAAATCTGAAGTAACTGGATGAGTACAGAAACATATATCCATCTCCGGAACTCTTACAAAAACAAAACAAACACAACAAGGAACCAATGGACAACAAACTAAAAGTTACGAAACTTGCCTCTGCACATAAATTCCCTGATGAACAAAGGAAGTCAGGCGATTCAGGAAGCATAAGGGTAAGAGGAAAACTTTTTTTCACAGTGAGTCAAAACTAACTTTTATTCCTATACCGACAAGTAGCTTTAAAACCAGTGGCAATATACAAGTGTGCAGGATGTACGCCCAACTGGAGACAGAAACCAAACATCTCTAGGCTCATTAGTTAAATTATCTGGAGTTTACAGTGAATATATTTACCAGATGAATCCCGACAATTGGAACCAACAACAAACTGGGACGAGAATAAGTAATGCAAAGGGAATTTCATCTCCGAGGGACAAGAGCAGGAAGCATAAGGACTTACCTTCCACCAGCAACGAGGAGTTAAGCAGCCTGTGTTGCTCAGAATCTGTGGTGCAGTATAATAGCTCAAAATTGTAGTAAATGATAGTGGGAGTATGTTTCAGCGCAGACAGCAACAGTAGAGGAAGTTACACAACTGCATCAAGTTACAAGGGCAGCACCTGAAGCACAAGCTCTTACAATGGAAGATTTTAACTATGACACAATAGGCTTTGGTAAATTTAATATCACAAACTGTAGGAAAACAATGCATTAACCTCATATAGAGCTCCGTTCTCATTCAGCATGCGACTGAGCCAACCTGAGGTAACAACGTTCTAGATTTCGTGCTAACAATAGAAGAGCATGATCGATCAAATCCAGGTTGGAGAGATGCCTACCGCCCTTACATGTAACCACTATATCCCAAGATGGAATATATTTCCCGAAACCCGATAAGTTTAGGAGAAGTATTAACATGATTACTCTCAAGGAGACTATCGAAGAATGGGATATATTTACAAAGAGCATCGCTAAACTTGTACGAAAATTCGTGCCAAGAAAGAGAGGAAAACTGCAAAGAACTAGATGGAAGACAAAGGCAGCAAAAAGAGCTTTATTAACTCAGCTCAATCTCCGGATGAGATAAAGGGATACAGTCCCTTTACGGGCTCACCATAGCCCGAGCTACATGGACATTTCTTTCTTAGTGGCTAAATCTAAACCAACATCAAACAACAACTCCAAAAGAGGTGTTACTCCACCTGGAATCACATCTGGAATCGCCACCTGGAATAAGACACTAAAAGGCGTTTAATGCAGCCACCTAGAAAATCAGATCAGCCAAAAGAAACTATGAACGGAAACTTGTAGAATATCAAGAAAGACCCCAAATTCTTTTATGCTAGGTAGAACCCTTGAAAGGTATGACTAACCAAGTTTTGAGCAACAATGAAAGATACACTCACAATAGGAATACACTTAAGGACACATCACCTACTCGAGACTATACACTCAGAGCTCACGCCTTAAATTTAACAAGAATAAATTGACTTACCAAAACTAGGTAGCGTGTCTGTATTCAAAATCCAAACTGCCTGCAGATTCAATTCCCCAGCAAACACAGCCTAACCACAGCACTGTAACAACGCTTTTTATACAACGTAAAACAACGTGAGTAAGGTGTTGAGAACATAGGTAATATGTGTTATTATGTAAGGAGGATTCGCTTGTTCTACCAGACAGGATCGCTGGAAGGGCAGCACTTCCGCCGGTGGGGGCGTCTGCTCAGCCTCTCCGAACAGAACCTTCTCGACTGCTGCCATCTGTGCTACGGGTGCCAGGGTGGTCGCATGGACTATGCCTTTACCACCATCCAGCAAAATGGTGGCATCGATAGTGAGAGTTATTACCCATACGAGGCCAGGGTAAGATACTTCGTTTGTGTGTGTGTGTGTTCGTTCTTGATTATTTAATGCTATGAATATTCTCGTTTTGTGGTCATATTTGCTTTGTTTTTTAACGATTTATCATTTGAGGGATGACAATAAAATTCTAGGAAGTACTTTATTTTAAGCCAGACTGGTACTTTGGTCACACATTACTCTAGGGAGTACATTATCTAAAAGCAGACTGGGACTCTAGTCATGCAGTACTTTAAGGTACTGTGTGTACAAGAACATGCCATATACCATACAAACATGTCCCATACCCGAAAAAACATACCATATACCCCAATATCACAAGAACACTTCACATACCCCCAACATCACACATTTCAAACCATCTTATGCCTCTTGCAGAACAACGTGTGCCGCTACAACCCATCCATGGCAGTCAGCAAGGTTGTCGGGTACATGAGCATCCCTCCCGGAGATGAGCAGGCTCTGAAGGCGGCGGTAGCCAATGTGGGACCCGTGGCTGTGGCCATCGACGCCTCCCTGCCCTCCTTCCATTACTACACCCACGGTAGGTCAAAGCCGCTCGTTGCATACAGTGGAGGGAGGCAAGATAGCTATCAAGAAGGAGCGTTAAGAACTGCGAGACAAGCCATAAGTACTGGGATGCGAGGACAGAATAAGAGCCGGGATATGCGGACAAAATATAAATTGGCAGATGAGGACAGATTTAAGAGCTGGGATAAGAGGACAAATTAACTATATATATACTGAGTGTGAGGACACAATAAGATCTGGGGGTATAAGGCCAGAGTTAAGGAACGATACCCAAAAATAGACCCAACACTGACCCTACAAAAAACAGGTAAATAGATAGGAAAAAGAGGGGTTACTATTATATACATAAATTGTTGTCATAAATGCTAAAAAATATTTTGTTTACGAGGATTTAATGATCTGAAGGCACGTCATTTATATGATAGTTGTATTCTGATGTCCCCGGTCCATTGTGTTATATGCGCAGTTTACCTAATACCAGTCCAACGTGCAGTTTACCTGATAGAATAGTACTACGTGCGCAGTTTATCTAATGTTAGTTTACATAATAATACAACTGCCGCACTAGAAACAGCATAATGCTAAAAGTTCCATTATTATTATTATTATTATTATTATTATTATTATTATTATTATACAAATTTTTGGTATCGATTTCCATTAGCCTAATATGTGTTGTAACCCTTATGTATGTACTTATGTTTATATGTACGTGTGACAGGTGTGTACTATGACGTCCAGTGCTCGTCTGTGTCGCTGACGCACGGGGCGCTGGTGGTGGGCTATGGCTCCCAGTGGGGCACAGACTACTGGCTGGTGAAGAACTCTTGGGGCGCCACTTGGGGCGACGGGGGCTACATCAAGATCGCCCGCAACCACAACAACCAGTGTGGCATAGCCTCTGCTGCGCTCTACCCCCTGGTGTAACGTCTTCTGCTACTGCGTTCTATTACCCCCTGGTGTGACGTCTTCTGCTGCAGCGCTCTACCCCCTGGTGTGACGTCTTCTGCTGCTGCGCTCTAAATTACCCCCCTGGTATAATGTCTTCTGCTGCTGCGCTCTATATTACCCCTGGTGTACGTTTTCTGTTGCTTCTACCCCATCCTCGCCTAGCGTAACGCCAACAATCTTGACGCTGCTGTTAAATAACTGGTATTTGGATGCAGTTTGCTCCAATAAACTACATGATCACTGTAACCCACTGTTGAATACATCAACTGTGTGATCTGTATTTAATGTTCCACTGCCGGGACACTGTAACACGACACACAGTCTTACAATACATTCACGTCTTGTATTTCATCAATACATAACTTGTGTGACGTTTTTCAAGTTACAGATTGACGTGAGGTTTTGTGTATTTTCCAGTCATCAGTAATGATCCTTTTTCTCGATTTTGGTTTTGAATAATATTTTAGTTCATACTTTTTTTTACCGTTTAGCAGAAACAAGCTTTTGTGTGTGTGTCGATTTTGCATGTTTGTGTGATTGTGGTTATGTATTGTTGTTGATTGTAAAGGTGTTTAATATATCGGTTTTGGTAACATGTTGTTAGGATTTCATGAAATGTGTTTTTATGATCCAGGTTTTTAAATACATTTTGTCACGACGTTAGTTTGTTTTCTTGCAAATAATATTCATATTTTTCTTTGGTTACCCCTTCTCTTGTACTGTTACAGTAGCACCTGTTACCCCCTCCTACTGTCCTTACACATGAGGGAGTTAGAGGAGGGCCACAGAGAGCCACAGTGAGTCAGAGGAGGGCCACAGGGAGCCAGAGGGCCACAGGGAGTCAGAGGAGGGCCACAGGGAGCCAGAGGGCCACAGGGAGTCAGAGGAGGGCCACAGGGAGCCAGAGGGCCACAGGGAGTCAGAGGAGGGCCACAGGGAGCCAGAGGGGCCACAGGGAGCCAGAGGGGCCACAGGGCCAACAACAAACCAGACATGATAAGCATAAGCTCTTTGAAACTTGAAATACTAAACAAATTGAAGGATATTAATCTAAACCAATCCTTTAACAGATTAAATAATAATAATTTACAACGAATACTGAGACCTATTAATCTAAACCAATCCTTTAAAAGATTAAATAATAATTTAATAATTGTGTCGTGGGACAGGCAGCCAGTGTATATATACATGTTAGGCTTATATTGAGGTCTCCCTCCAACGTCGAAATACTGACCCTCTCCAGAATGCAACTTCACAATAAGATGAATAATTCAGATGTACCTATTTTCTGGTAGGTGAATAGATGCATTAGGTGCTAGGAAATGCACCCAAATCATTATTGTCCAGCCAGAGATTCGAACCCAGAATTCTTGATTGTGAGAACGAACCGGGACCCTTCGTAGCACATACGAAGGGGTACCTGCTTATAACTTCACAAGCCACAATGTATTACAGAAAACGGAGTCATGACATTCAGAATTTTATCGTAAAGATCTTCCCCCTCCCCCATGACGCTATCGTTATCACATGATCGCCGTCCTCAGCAATGTCGACATCAGTTGTGGTAGCGAGAGTGCTTTCTAAAAATCAGTGGATAGGGTCACTCCCATTACTTTATTGTCTTGTGTCTTCGGCTGCGTCCTCAAGAATATCTGCCGTACCACTGTACAATTCTCGTGTTGGAGAATGGTGAGTAGACAGCTTGGATGGTGCATGGTTGTTTTCAGGACGCAGGGGCGGTACTCTTGCTGCAACTTCATGTTCCTCCACTCTGGTGCAGATGACGACTCAACACACACAGGCAGACATGCTTTCTGATTCACGGTCAGTCTCGTCAGTGAAGGAATGATTGACAAGACACAACTATAAGGCATAGTCCAATTACCGTCTAATCCAGCCCATCCTCCTGTTTTGGTAGTATTTGTAGGAAGGATGAGGACCATAGTACATATACCGACGATCAACGCAGTTATTAATCGATACTATGAAATTTGGACAAACCGGAAAACGATTTTCTGCTTATGTTGCAAAGACAAACTAACCTAACCTTCCTGGGCCTAATACACGCTATCTGAGGCCTAATAAAGTACATATATGTGCTATACTAGGCTTAGGAATATTTGTTTGATTATTAGTTTCATTTTTTTTTCGTACTCTATAAAGTGAATAGTACAAAATTCTACTATCTAATTGCTTAGTAAGTCAATATTTGTACTACGGTGCTCATAGTTACAAAAATTACTATCTAAACAGGAGGATGGGTTGTCTAATGAGGGTCTTGTATACCACTATTAGAGAATTTGTCGACTTCCCTTCGTGAGATGTGAAGGTGTTTTAAAACACTGATACATCTATTGCATCTATTACATCTGATACATCTATGTATATCTATATACATCTATGTATATCTATATACATCTATGTATATCTATATACATCTATGTATATCTATATACATCTATGTATATCTATATACATCTATGTATATCTATATACATCTATGTATATCTATATACATCTATGTATATCTATATACATCTATGTATATCTATATACATCTATGTATATCTATATGCATCTGATACATCTATACACATGTGATATACCTATTGGGTTTGGGTGCTGCCTCTTTCTCAAGCTCTTTACAAAATTATTTGTACAAAACGTTTTTTGATGCAATTCTATTTTTATGTTTTGTATCTCTAGTTGTTATAGTTGTATCTCTAGTTGTTATACTTGTATCTCTAGTTGTTATAATTGTATAGCTCTAGTTGCTATACTTGTATCTCTAGTTGTTTTACTTTCATTTGTGGATGACTAGGCTGCGGGGAGTGTGCCTGTGAGTGTCTATATTGCTCGCTTATGATGCCTTGTCTGTCTTCAATAAATTTAACCTTTTTTTCGAACGCAATCTTGTGCACCGTGTACAGGAAAATAGATATAGTCGATTGTTATCTCACGCCAACACTTTTAAGGAAAAGCCATATCACACTCCACGTCACGGCCCTTGTGGATTTGTTCAAAAGACATATGTCCCTAAACTAGATCGCTCGTATGTAAATAATGTATTAAAGTGCAGGTGTGGACATCAGGTGTGGACATCAGGCCAGGTAGAGAGTGGCAGTGAGTGCTAGGATGGGCCCTAAAATTGTCTGGAATATTTCTTCAAGACAATTCAGCTTACTAATGTTAAATCGCAAAGTTACCGCCATGAGAGCGATATGAAGTTAACGTTTTCTATGAATTGCGTTATTGCTGCATGTCAGAACTACTCTTGATCTATCAGTTCAATTCAACTTATTTCTTTATTATGTAACCCCCATACCTATCCCATGGGCGGTGGAGGAAAGGGTTACAGAGGCACAATCTGTTCAGGAACTGAACCCCATACTTCGTTTACCTAAGCAAGTGACAATCTTTTGAAGCTAGATAAGATATAATGTAATCCTGATTACAGATCACGCCGCTCAGATGCTTATTATCACTGGGATACCGCCCTGTTCTACAAAGAATGTCGCATTTCCCTCGTATGAATTACATAAGGCCAAAAATTGTCGTACTAGAAAATGGAAGCGGCTGGCGAAAGTAACGTAGTGTGCCGTTTTTTGTTTGGGGTCCTCTGGTGGTAGGTTAGGAGAGGACACTTTAAATTGACCGTTTTCTTGACCCTGGGAAACCTTAGGAGGACGGACTGGAGATACAGTAAAGGCCCATGTACAGCAAAGGCTTCTGAACAACAAAGTCCCTTGTATCTTACAACATCGACCTTCGATCCCTGATGGGTCAAATCGCTGAACATCGTACCTTTACCCCGTTCTCATATTTCTGTTCCTTGTCCTCATTAGCGCTTTCTCTTGATAATTACGTGAAGTGGGGACTTACATCAAAGTATGTACGCATATATGTACATTAACACACACACGCTACTTGGGCTCTTGAGAGATTGAGGATTCCCATGGAGGCCGCCAGGGTAGTGAAGATGGAGATCGCGTGTAGTGATGATGGGGCCTCGCTTCGTTCCCCGGGCACTGCCGGGTACCTCAAATGGTACCTAACAAAACACTAAATAAAATATTGATTGGGGTGGTATGCGCAAAATATTCAAGTGCTTTAAAAATAAAGTTTCTTTGAGTATTTGTGTTTCTCTTCATCGAAATTATATATGTTCTCATAATAGATAGAGGTGCACACACACAAACACATTAGTGCTAGGAGCAGCATTAATCCCTACATGTAAGATCTCATTACAACATCTCAGCGTGTAATCTCAGTGTACTACTATCAGAAAATCATGGAATGAGTCTCACTAGTAAACCTTTACAACATCTCTGCGCATCAGCGGTGTAAGTGATATTAAATGCATTCCAAAAAATTATTGCCGTTGAAAGGAATTTCATATAGTAGTATTTTATTAACCAAGTTTGTGTCTCAACAATTGGCAACTGTGGTTGTTATCTTGGCCTGAGAAGGCCGCCTGGCGGCAGTCAGCCGAAGCGTCTCCAGCACGCAAGGTATCTACACTTTGTGTCAATTATTTAGCGTGTCAGGGCTCAGGCTACCCTATGTACTGGGGTACTTAGGCTACCCTCGTGGTTACCCTTTGTACTGGGGTACTTAGGCTACCCTCGTGGTTACCCTTTGTACTGGGCAATACTTGACCAAACACCAATTCAGCAAAGCAGTGTTACAAGCTGTTGCAAGTCTCGCAGCGTTTGTTTTATGTATGTATGTAATTGTGACCACATCATTAATAGCCTCATACAGCACAGTGTATAATTTTTATATATTTTTATTTATTTATTTATTTACTTATACAAGAAGGTACATTGGGTTTATGAGAGTACATAGCATTGATGTTTTTACATTCTTGTAAAGTCACTAACACTCATAGCGTTTCAGACAGGTCCTTAATCTAAAAGTGCGTATTAGTGGCTTTAGGTATTGTATGTACTAACTCTATCTATAAATCCAACATTATGTTTGTAACTCATCTTCTATGTACGTACTTTTACCTGAATAAACATTTTGATTTTTGATTTTGAAAAGATAATTTTAAGTAGGTAATTTCTAGCAAAATTGAAAAGATGTTAACAGGTACATTGAAAGAAATTTTGACAAAGATTAGTAGGTACATTAAAGTAAAATTTGAGGGTTATCAATATGTACATTGTAGCATATGGACTTGGACCGTTCACTACCAGCCATACTCACCTTCTCTCACAACTTTTAATTGTAGGAACAACTGTTTATATAAAAGCTACATTGCTGGCGTTATTGATTTTATAGTGTAATCTTTCTATGCCTCTATTTTCTTTGTATCAGTATTAAGACGAGCAATCGTTACTAAAATTCTTTTTAAGGAACTTTGAGCTTAATGATGCTCGTCCTTAAGCTGAAGTTCTAGCTAGTACTTAAGCTAGTCCTTAAGCTGATCTTTGAGCTTAAAAAAGCTAGTAACTCTTGAAGGGTTTATTAGCTACAACGTTCCATTTTTCTGAACATCTTCAGGTAATGAATGAATACAAGAGATTGATTGATTGATGAAGATTAAGGCACCCAAGAGGTGACCACGGGCATGAATAGCCTAATAATCGGTACAAACGTCATTATCCGGTGATCTGTGGTGAGCTCTAGCTCTGAGTCCCGGCAGGGAAGCAAAATTGTTACTTTGTATATTTAAGGCGGGTTGTTACTTTGTATATGTTTATCAGGGCTGTTCTTGAGTATTAAATTACCAGTACTTCTTTTGTTTGTAAGCGGGGTTTCGCTATGGCTTTTTTAAGGCTGTTTTATATTGTTCCTACTTAAACTGTCAACCCTATCTCAGTATATAGACAAAACAACATTTCTTTCAAGGAAACTAACTATGCACGCACAGCAAGGATCCATCTAAATATATATAATTTGTACACACAACCAGATCATCACCAGATATCCTGACAAACAACACTGAAATAATCAACAAATACAACGAAAACGGAAGCTTAGTTATCAGGAAAGCACCAGATGTCAAACAGTCAACCAACTATTAGCAGACAACTAACATCAGTTGCATGCTATCATCTTCAAGACGAAGACAGAACATCCAACTACTGCCCCAGATATCATAACATCCAACATACTGCCCCAGACATCATCATAACCAACATACTGCCCCAGATATCACAACATCCAACATGCAGCCGATGAGTCACAATAACGTGGCTAAAGTATGTTGACCAGACCACACACTTAGAAGGTGAAGGGACGACGTTTCGGTCCGTCCTGGACCATTCTCAAGTCATTCTCAAGTCATCGACTTGAGAATGGTCCAAGACGGACTGAAACGTTGTCGTCCCTTCACCTTCTAAGTGTGTGGTCTGGTCAACATCCAACATGACCAGACATCATAAAAACACAAAAAAGGGAACTTCATAAGGCTTATTTGCCCCTGCGACGGTCTCACTCTCTCTTATATATTCCGTTGCTCCAGCTGTATTATCATAACAATAATTCACGCTGTTGGGGACAGGCCGCTTGTGGATGCATTAGGATTATATCGAGGCCCCTCCCCTTCACCCCCTGAGGTGGAACTACTGATTTTCCTCAGGCTGCAACCCCACAAAAGTTAACTCTTGTGTGTACCTATTTTCTGCTAGGTAAACAGAGGCATTAGGTGATAGGGAACATGTCCAACAATTTTTGCTCAGCCCGGGATTCCCGAGTGTGAGAGGATCAACGAAACGTCTGTTACCGTCAGGCCATAATAAAACTCAAATGAACTTTGGGGAGTTAATTTTTCAACTTCTTTCTCAAGTGAAGATTCGTGCCAGAATCATTGCTCTTACCTTTTTTTTGTCATATTCAGTAACATATGTCTACGAGAAATTGATTGTGAGAGTCTTTGGTCACGGAAGCAACGCGTATATCTGGGTATCGGGGCCTGACGGTTGAGTGGACAGGGTTTAGGATTCGTAGTCCTAAGGTTCCAGGTTCAATCCCCGGCGGAGGCGGAAAGAAATGGGCAGTCTCTTTCGCCCTGACGCCCCTGTTCACCCAGCAGTAAATAGGTACCTGGGAGTTAGACAGCTACTACGGGTTGCTGGAGATGTGTAACAAAAAGGAGGCCTGGTCGAGGATCGGGCCGTGGGGACACTAAGCCCCGAAATCATCTCAAGGTAACCTCAAGATAACCAAGATCGGGTCTCGAACCCGGGGTTGTCTTCTCACCCACCAACAGGTTGTTCCCATAAACTCTGCAGCCCAATCAGACGCCTGAACACCGTCACCAAACACGGCCGAGGCTGACTCAAGACAGGAAATAACCTTGAAATCGTTATTGATCATCCAATATTTACCTCTTATACGGATTTTTGAGGCTATAATTAAAATTATCAATTACAGATCATATCTCAAAACGCACAATAATTTGCGTCAACAAACTTGGTGAGACTGAAAGTGTTACAGCACCCGAGTGAAGCAATCAGTCGGCCAGGTGTAAACGCTATCAAGTGAAAGCAAAATGATACGGCAAATCACTCACTTTCCCTCTCTCTCTCTCACTCTACCAGTCACGTATCTCTACGTCAATCTGAACCATCTCGCGACGTTTCCTCATTATAATACAAAAACTTAAAGTTTAAAAAAATAATATTTTGGCAAAATGACCCCGTTACCCATTGATGGCGGGAATATTATGCTGAAAGTTGAGACCCGTGGCGTAGTGGTAAGACACTCGCCTGGCGTTTCGCAAGCGTTTGGCTTGGGTTCATATCCTGGCTGGGGGAGGATTTATTGGGCGCCAATCCTTAACTGTAGGCTCTGTTTACCCAACAGTAAAATGGGTAACTGTTTGTTAAACGATTTAGCGGGTCGTATTCCAGGGGAACATAGGATTAAGGACTTGCCTGAAACGCTACGCGTGCTAGTGGCTGTACAAGAATGTAAACACATCAGTGCTAAGTACTCTCATAAGCCCAATGTACTTTCTATATATATATATATATATATATATATATATATATATATATATATATATATATATATATATATATATATATATATATATATATATGGGTCCAAGCTTTACAATCTACAAACTTTATGTAATAATATTCCTTTCACTTATTCAGTTACAACCACAAATACATTTAACATGACAATATAAAATGGGTATTTCCAGCAGTTATAAGTGAATGTAGCACAAGACCCCACTAGAGTGTTTTTCAGTTTTTTCTTCTGCCACAGATCTGGCCAATCTTTTTTACAACTTGATTTTTGAAACTGTGGGTTCCGACCCATTAGTGCGTCGCAAAATAAATAAAATGGGTCGCGACAAATAAAAAATCCACAAAAAAATAAGCCAGTAAGAGTGACAATCTCATTCGCACGCATTATTCATCATTGCAATTTACAGGACTGATAGTAGGCTTGTTACCAGGGGGCCAGATTCACGAAGTAGTTACGCAAGCACTTACGAACGTGTGCATCTTTCCTCAATCTTTGACGGCTTTGGTTACATTTATTAAACAGTTTACAAGCATGAAAACTTCCCAATCAACTGTTGTTATTGTTATAAACAGCCTCCTGGTGTTTCGGAGCTCATTAACTGTTTAATAATTTTAAACAAAGCCGCTAAAGATTGAGAAAAGATGTACAGGTTCGTAAGTGCTTGCGTAACTGCTTCGTGAATTTGGCCCCAGGTGATTGAGGCTACCTGGTGACCATAGCGGGAACTACAGTCCGTCAACAAGTGTGTGTGTTCCCCAGTTGCTTCGCTTGTTTTTCATCGATTTTCCCCATAATTAGGTAGGTTTTTAGCAATTAACTCATCACCAAACCACACACACCAGAAAATGGAGAAACAGCGACGTTTCGGTCCGTCCTGGACCGATCAGTTCGTGTGATTATACGACTTGATAATGGTCCAGGATGGACCGAAACATCTGTCGTTTCTCCATTTTCTGATGTGTGGTTTGGTCATTGTATCTTCAGCCACGTTATTGTGGCTCATCGTCGGCTTTAGCAATAACATTCTGTCAGTAGGTATTGTGAATGCATTATACATATGTTGTTAATAAAAAAACGGAGATATTTATAGATAATATCATTGATTGAAGAATGATTTTGAGCAATTAAATTTGTCATCATTTTAGATTAAGGTTACAGGAGAATTTCCACTTTTAAGTAAAAAGGCTGTCTTGATGCTAGTGTCTCTTAACTAGTACTTAGTTGTGTGAACTAGGATTTCTCACATTAACTCAATTTAAAAAACAATTACTTACCAACAAACAAGTACATCATTCTCATTAAATGAAAACGTAAACAAACATAACAAAATATTATTTACTGTGTCTTTTTTTGCTAGAATTTAATGAAAAATGTTTCTTTTTCTATATTCCTAAAAATAGAAATATATAATTTAATTGAATAGGTTCCATCCATAAGACTGCTTATCATTGGTCAATATTAAAGGAACATACTTCAGAGATATACAGTAGTACATCAGAGAGGGAATACAGTAGGAGCTACT